ACTTCTGAAACTATCATAAACCGGCAACTTCTATTTAATTGTTTCTTAGTTTCAACTGACGTTTACATATTAAATCTTACATCCAGCTGCCTTGCAAAAGCCTATTAGTTCGAATCATTTATCTGTAGTTTAGGGGGAGTTTTCTATGTAAATGAGCATGTCCTCTATTAATTATTTTCTCCTTTCCAAACCATATGCTTCCAATGTGTTTCCTGAATCTTACTACGTTGCAATGTGTTTACGAATCTTACAGCACTGCACATCTTCTCTGGATGCTCTCAGTCCCTCAAGGAACCCATTCTTCACCTGTTCCAATGAACTCCAAGCCTATATTTTCAGCCCTTATTGCTCACCTTCAATCGGATGCATATTCCTAACTATACAAAATGATTCTCATTCTCTTGTCATCTTGCAAGACCGGCAGCTGCCTTACTTCAAATCTTACAACTCAGTCAGTGACATCGTGATTTTTCCAGTTTTCTAGAGAAAGACCCCCAGTGAGATGGATTGGCAAAGTGGCAACATCAACGGGCTCAAGCGTGGCAGCAATAGTGAGGTTGGCCCGGGATCGGGCAGTGTTTCCTTCTGCTGTGCACAAGGTCACTATGACTCGATGGCACCTACCAACAACAACAACAGTACAGAAGCACTGGGGCAGCTATCTTGGTTCTTACTTCTCCCTTCCCTCCACCACATCCACCTTGCTGCTACACAATTAGCCTGCCCTGACAGTGGCTCCCTCTAAAGAAAAACGGAAACTACCATAGTCCACTCTCACGGATTCTCTAAACCCACGGAAAACGTCCCAAGTCTGGGACTAGAGATGCCCCAGTTCTTGCTCCTGCGTTCAGGATGTCTGCTCTGGTCTTATAAAATGGATAGATAACAAATGCATCTGTGCACAAACCCTATATATTAGAGTTAGGAAATCATCTTGACTATCAGAAAAACTGAACTAGACAATCCAAGTTGCGATGTGTCCAGATCTTGCTTGCATCCGGCTCCCCACCCCCAAATCATCCTCCACGCTACATGAGTTTTTCTAACAAAATATCTGATCAAGGCACACACCACAATCTTAAAGCCTTTCAGTTGATTCCCTCTGTTTTTATACATCTGGGATAATGCACTGGATCGCAAGGTCAGCGGTTCAAACCCATCAGCCGCTCCTTGGAAACCCTATACAGGGTTGTTTTGAGTCTGAATCAAACCAACAAAACTACAACATGATGGAAAAGTGTAGAGAGGTTTGTCCCAAACCCAAACTCGTACCTTATTGCCACACTCACTCTCAACACAATGGCCTTCTTTGAATCCTTGAAAACGTGCCTCAAGCCATAAGGTCTTTGCAACCTTCTCGGGATTTAAACCCTATGGAGATTTAGTGCCACAGAGTATGATTTACTTTAAAAACATTCACATAGGAGGAGAGTGCTCTCATCTTTTTTAACCAACAAGAAACATAATCAAAAGTTTGGTGACCACGGCTTTTTTCTGTCCTTGTTGTGTGACTTCAAGTGGATTCTGGCTCACAGCCACCTAGTAGGACAGGGGAGAACCGATGCGGAGGACTACCAAGGCTGCAGCTCTGAAGACAGCAGATTGTCTGGTCTTGTCTCCCAGGGAGCAGCTGGTGACCTGCTGACCTTTCAGTCAGCAGCCAAGAGCTTAACCAGTGTGCCACCAAGGAGCCTTAGTTCTAGTGCATGCTGTTTAATGCCATCAAGTTGGTTCTGATCTGTATAGGTTTCCACTTTGGGACTGATGGGTTTGAACTGCCAACCTTGTAGTTAGCAGTCCAGTGCTTATCCTACAGTGCCACATCAGAACTCCAAAATAATTACTAGTTGTTGGAATAAGGAGCCTTGGTGGCGTAGTGGGCTAAGCATTTCATTGCTAACTACAAGGTTGTTGTTGTTGTTGTGAAGTGCTGTCGAGTTGGTTCTGACCCATAGCGACCCTGTACAGGGTTTCCAAGGAGCAGCTGGTGAGCTTGAACCGCAGGCTTTGCAGTTCAAAGGCAGTCTGCGCATTAACCCACAGCATCACACCAGGCCATTCACAATGAGTCTGCTCCTGGGAAGACTCAGGCTCAGGAAACCCTGTGGAGCAGTTCTACTCTGCCTGCAAGGTCTGACTAGGAGTCGGATTCAACCCAACAGCAGAGAGTTTGGTCATTAGCTTAGTTCAGGTGTGGTACAGTAGGATGAGCACCGGACTGTTAACCAAAAGGTTGGTCGAACTGACTGAAGACAGTTAACAAGTCTGCCCTTACAACCTCCCACATCTGGGAGATGCTCCCAAACTTCCCCCGGAGAGCTTCCAAACAGAGCACTTCTTCACAATCCAGGAAACTGTTATAACACTTACTACTGTCCTCCAGCAAAGTAAATGTCCTGTCTTCCCCCCATGCACCCCATTAGCATTGTGTCAGTTACAATGCAGAATGACCCTACACAACTGCTCCTTCAGGTTTCTGAGAATGTCAATCTTTACAGGAACAAAAAGCCTCAACTTTCTCCCACGGAGCATTAGTGGGTTTGAACGGTCCACCTTGTGGTTAGTGATCTAGTGTCTAACCCACAGCGCCACCAGACCTCCTGTCCCATCCTCCCTTCCAGCAAAACACATGGTTGGTTCATTTCTCTCCTCCACTAACCGAAGCAGTACTGCCTGCTGCCACATGGGGGCAGGGTTGCTCCATGAGCGCCTTCTCCAGACTTAGGAGACTGTAAATTGGGAAAAGATTTGAAATTTTATACGAACTTAAAAAAGAGTCCTGTGGAGCCCTGATGTGACGCTGGACTGCAAAGTTGTTAGTTCAAGCTCATCAGTAGCTCCCTGGAAACCTTGCATAGGGCCGCTATATGTTGGAACTGATTCCACAGCACTTGACAACAATAAAGGAATCCCAGACCCCCAACGAGATGGATTGGCCAAGTGGCAGCATCGATGGACTCAAGTGTGGCTACAATAGTGAGGTGGGCTCAGGATCAGGCAGTGTTTCATTCTGCTGTGCATAAGGTCGCAACAAGTGTGGCGCTGTGGGTTAAGGTGCCACACTGCAAAGCCAGTAGGTCAAGCTCACCAGCCACTCCTCGGAAACCCTATACAGGGTGGCTATGGTCGAACCGACTCGACAGCACTTAAAAGCAACAGTGTGACGCTGTAGGAAAAGTACTTGACTGCTAACCACAGGTCAAAGGTTCAAATCTACCAGCTGCTCCTTGGAAACTCTATACAGGGTCGCTATGAGTCAGAATTGACTCAATGGCACTTCACAACAACAATAAATATATGATGGTTTGAATGTCTCTGGGTGTTGCAAACAGTAATTTGAACCCACCTGGGGGTACCAAATGGAGCTCTGGTAGTGTAGTGGTTACGAATCGATCTGCAAACCTTAAGGTCAGCAGTTCGAAACTACCAGCTGCTCCGCGGAAGAAAGATGAGGCTTTCTGTTACTTTAAAGATTTACAGCCTTGGAAACCCTGTACAGGGTCGCTGAGTCAGAACCAACTCCACGGCACATAACAACAAGGGGTGCCAACGGAGTCCTGGTGTGGCGCTGTGGGTTAATGCACCAGACTGCTAAGCTGTTTGAACTTCAAGGTCAGCAGTTCAAACTCACCAGTTGCTCCTCGGAAACCCTATACAGGGTTGCTATGGGTCGGAACCAATTCGATGGCACTTAACAGCAACAACAGCGGTGCCAACAGCAGCCTAGCCACCAGCTTCACTAAAGACTGTTGTTCAGTGCCATCGAGTCAATTCTGACTCACGTGACCCCATACAGGGTTTCTGATGAGTGGCTGCTAAGTTAGAACCACTGACTTCGTGGTCCAGTGCCACACCAGGACACCCAATAAAGATAGTTGCTGTTGTTGGTAAATGATGGTAGTCAGTTCCGACCCACAGCAACCCTGTACAGGGTTTTCCTGAAAGCTCCTGGTGAGCCTGAACCGCTGACCCTGTGGTTCAGTGCATTATCCTGCAGTGCCACCAGGAAAGATCACAGCCAAGAAAAAACCCTATGGAGCAGTTCCATCCAGCACCATGGCTCTGAAAGGATTCAGCTGCAGTGTTTAAACTCTGGAAGATCCTGGCCGGCAGCTTTACTAAGCTCTGTTTTGTAGAAATGTAGAAGTGCTGGCGCCAGCCACTGATAAGCAGAGCTTGTTTCTCAGGAATGAAGAACAGCGGGGACCCAGTACTGAGCAACTCCCAAAACTCTGCCCAGAGGCCATAGATGACCTCTGGGGCCAAGGAATGGGCAGGGTCTTTAATCAACCTAGCAGTCGCCATAAGTAGATTAAGTTTGATTTTGGACGCCCTTGCGTCTCAAAAACAGTTAAGCACTAAACTATTTATCTAAGGGTTGACGGATTGAAAACCCACCAGAGGTGCCTTGGAAGAAAGTCGGGTGATCTATTTCCAAAAGATCACAAGCTTGAACACCCTCTGGAGCAGTTTCTACCCAGCACACACTGGGTGTCTAAGAGTCGGAGTATCGCTGTTATCCTGCCGGTGTTGAGCGGCTGGTGAGCTCGAACTGCCGACCTTGAGGTTCAAACCGACCTTGCGGCCCAGCGCTTTAATCCACCGCTACTTAATGGCAAATGGGTTGGTTTTTGTTTTTAAAATAACTGAGCTCACTTAACAACAGCAATTTTCTGTCTAGTATTGCTATTCAATGATTTACACAGATTTGCTCTAGACCTCTAGGATTTTATTTGGAAGGAGGGAGTGGTGGTAAGGAAATTTCAGGGAGCGAGGGCTCTTAAAAGGCTACATAGATTACTCTTTTTTTCCCCTCGGCTTAAGTAACCTCATCTATAAAAGGGGTCGTTGTCGCTCCTCTCTGTTAAGATTGGGAGGATTCATTCATTTAGTGCACTTAGAGAGCAACAGCGGGACATCGATGACCAGCCAAAAACTCAGACCCGCGGTCGCCTCACTTCCCCGTGATAGCCTCCCTTCCGTCCAAGCCGGCCCAGTACCTGAGTCGCCCCCCGCGCTAGGACACTGGTCAGCTGGTCTGGTAAGTTCTACGGGCGGCGGGCGTGGAGCCGAGACGACATCGGCCGACGACTCAGGAGGAGCGGGGTCCATGGAGGAACACTGCCCACAGGAATCCAAGGTGTGTGGAGAAAAGGGGGCCTCAGGACTGGGTGTGGGAGGCAGGTGACTGTGAGCCAGGAGGAGCCTGAATCCAGAGAGGGGGGATGCTTCTGCGTTCCAATCATTCTAGGAGTGGGCGTGGGCGGATGCCACCGCAATGCGCACTGGCGCGCTCCCCAAGGACGCATGCGCGATTTCCCGCCCCAATTTCAGGGAGTACTCGCTCCGCCCTCCGTCTCCTGGACAGTCTTTACCCACAACTCCCCGGCCCTGTACGTCATCTCCTTACACGCGTGCGTCGTTCACAGTCCCGCCCTAAATCCCGTGAGCCTCTGCGAAGCATTATTTAAGTGTCTTGCTGTGAGCTCATCGGCCTCATTTTTGCCAGGCTTTCGGTAAGTTTCTGTCGTCTTGTTTTCACCCGCTTCTTGGGATCTGGGGGACTAGGCCTTGGTACTGTGTTGCATGTACTTGGGGGGGCGTGGGTACGGGGTCGCTTTCCCGCATGGCCGCGCGGCACGGCGGGACTTTGTCAAGGACAGAATGGCCGTGTCGCCATGCCGGGGTCCTTTCCGTGATGAGGACATTCTCACAGACCTGTACTGAGCATTGTGAGGACAAACCTAACTCTGAGAAGATGGGCCCCGCACGCTGTCTTCTCCAGGGGAAAAGCGTATCCAAAATACTTGCTAACCGGTCGCTTTTCTGTTTGCAGGGCGTGTATAAAGGCGGAAGAATCGGAAAGAAAGCTGTTTGGAGTGAGTGGTTTCGGCCCTCTTTTACCGCTTCCATAATCGTTGATTAAATGTATGAGCTACGGGTGTGCTATGAGGATGATCCCCTGTTGAACTCTCTCTTTCTGATGGCTTAGTGGCGACCACGTTAAACCTCTGAGTAGCGCCCCTTGGACAGTTCTATGCTCATCCATGCACTCTAAAGGCAGTTAATTGGTTTGTTTTGTTGTTTTTTTTAAAGCTGTTCCGATCCATAGAGCTTGTTGGTTGGAGAATGGAACGAGACATCTCGCTTACACTTAACTCTGCTATGGAGCTGCTCTGCAGATCCCGCATTGCGCTGATGCATCAGGTGGGGATCTGATGATAGTTTCTATGGGGAGAGGAGAATTGGCTTTTTCGAATTGCACCGACCACTACCCATGATGATTAAAAGACAAGCATATGACTGAATTTAAACGATTGATGTCGCCTTTCTACTGAGAAGTGGATCTGGCTTCTCGGATTTAAATGGTTCTTCTTGGCTGCTACTAACATTAATCCTCTTTGCAGCATCTTCCCACGGATCCTCATGAATCCGCGTGCTTCCCAGAGTGACTGCAGGTAATTGTCCAAATGGAGAGCAGTTGACATCCTTTGGGTGGGGGGTGATACCTCCATCACTGTCAGATGATTTGAATTGATAATGCTGATCCTCTGTGAGGTGTGACCATTAATAGCATGTTAGAGTTCTGATGGCAGTTGATAGTCCTGAAGAAATTTGTTTGGCCTTCAGGTTTTTTGTTGATTTTTAAATAACTTCTCCCTTTTCGCAGGTAGATCAGATGATGCTGTGCTCCTGTTTTAGGTAAGCTGTTTCAGATCCTTATATCATTTATGAGGTGCGTGTGTCAGTCTTTGGCTTTATGTAGTGTGGCTATGAACCAACTTGGAGAGGATGAGAGCTTTTTCTTAAGGAAATGGTTGAGATACACACAATGCCTATATTATTGGCTGAGATTTGTTAGTTTTGGTGTATCATTAACCATAACTAGAATCACTTTGGGTGGGGGGGTTTTAGATAGTTTCCTAATTAAAATTTTCCATTTTAGAGGCAACTGGGGCCTGCCAGTGAAAAGCTTCCCAAGTTAACAAGGTTAGTTGACTTTCTTATTTTATTGTCTTTAAATCTAGTCACGTGACTTAGGCCAGTTAGGTAGTTTCTGTGATGATTCAAACTAGCTCACTATGACATATAATGAAAACATGAACATCTGAGAAACTAGCCAAGATAGATAGATGAGGATATACCACATGTAAGCAACAATTTTCTAACCCACAGCTTTGTGTCCTTTCCTTAGATACTGCTAACAGCTGCTCACAGGTGAGCCATTTCAACATGTTGTTAACTGCATGTAGTCTAAGGTGGGGAAAGGGCCTTCCATATGATGACTGACTGGAATCTCGTTCGGCTGATGAATTGCTGTTGAGACTCAGGAAATCTGATTGTCTACAAAGTGCTTAGGAATATCTCATTTTAGGGTGATCATGTTACTAACAGTCTCTTTTTCATTGCAGGTAACATTTTTGCCTGGCACCACCCCAGTAGTGATTTTTGAGGTGAGTGCCTTAGGCAAAACTTGTTATATGACAATCAGGTCTGAATTTTGCTGTGTAGACTACCATCTTAGCCCAGACTCTTTTGTAAATTGGCTATGGCTGTTCACATGATGAGTTGAATACCGCCCCAGTCTGAGAACTGTGACTGAAAGGTATTTCTGAGCTGAGCTTGCCTTGCCAGTGAGAAGTGGGGTTTGCTGTGATTGAAACCACAGTATATTCCAGGATACCTTTTCTCTGAGCAGCAGGAGCTTAAGGGCTAACTGAGGAACTCTTTTCTGCAGAGTCATTGAAAGTTGTATAATGTGGGAAGCACTGGACATCTGAACCAGCTCAGCTGTACTTAACACAGTCTGAGGTTAAAGGTGAGTTACACATGTGTTTAAGTTGAGCTGGGCCAAGTTCAATTAGATCCCAATGAGGAAACATTCACATGTCTTACCCCTTGTCCTAGCCCCAGAGCCTGAAAAGGTGAACCCACTGGGGCTGGCTGGGGGAGGAGAGGAGAGCTTGTTCCAGAAGGAACTGTCTGAGGGATCCAGAAGGGTTTTTAAGTAACATGAGACAGGATGAGTAAGCACTTCATAAATTAGTTCTTTGTTCCCCAGGTATAAGAAAACAGTGAAGATCCACATGGAGTTAGCATTCATCTACAAGCATGAACAGAGAAGCCTTTGTGGATGTTACTGCTTTGTTGACTTTTGTAGGAACCAAAGTCTTGTGCAATAAGGAAATGGCATGTATGCATTCTGTTGTCTGTAAATAAAATCTTTATGCTAACCTAGAATGTGGCTTTAGTTTTTTTTGTTTGTTTTTAGTGTAGCTTGGCAATTTGCCTGAGGGCTCTGCTACCTTGTGGGGCCTATTGGTTAATACACTGGACTGCAAAGTCAACTTGAGCCTCGAGGCCAGGGATTCAAGCTCACCAGCTGCTCCTCAGAAACCCTGTACAGGGTCACTATGGGTCAGAACCCTATGGGTCAGCATGGCATTTAACAATACTATAGCCCAAAGAACATTTAAGCATTTTGTTATGAGAGCAAGCAGTAAAAATTGGTAGTTTAGAACTACTGAGGTTATATGACCCGCTGGAACCTAACCTCACTGTAAGTGCTCAAAAGAGCTGACAATTAGGCCTAGCAGCCATCCACAGGAGAAAATGTCATTTCCTTAACGATTTAGTCTTGAGAACCCAAAGGGGCAGTGAACTTGGTTTTAGAGGAACTGGAAGCATATGTGGACCCTCTGGATGGGTTAGAACTACCAACTTTTCCCTTAACTGAGTGCCTAGCCATTGTGCCACTCCAACATCTGTTAGCATCTGACTCAGCGACCCTGGAGTTCAGACCACCTTGAGGTTGTATGCTTAATCCTGTGGAGCCACGCTAGGAATTTATATAATAGGATTTCCAGACAGTGTGGAGCCTCACTGCAACCTTGGTATGAGGTTAACAGCCAACACCCAGCAGTTGTCAGTTTCCAAAAGCAGGTGGCAGGTTTGAACTGCTGACATGCAGTTACCAGTGCAGTGCTTATCCTATGGTGTCAAAACAGCTCTATGGGCTGTTTATGCCAACAGGTGGAAGAAATGCTAGTAGGATGCTGAGGGGAACAGGGGAGAGCATGGACTATAATGACAGACTTGGCTTCTCATGTCCCACTACATCATTCAGCCTCTTATTAGGGACACTCAGTAAGCTGCTGAGTCCCTCCCCAGATCTAGTCATGTGCCTTGCTTGTTTGTTGATTACTGTTTGTCTACATGATAGTGGACATTTTTTTGTGTGTTTGAAATCACATCTGTGGGAATGGAGACTATCACTCTCAGACAGCCATTATTGAATCCTACAGGGAGGGTTAAAAATTCACTTACCTGCTGCTGAGTTCTGGGAAACACTGCAAAGGCTGGAAACAACTCAAGGTAGGCCGCCTTGTTTACCTGTAAACACTCTCCAAGCTCCCATTCTTTGCCTCATCACTGACTACCTGAACTGCTCACCCTACTGTTTGATGAGAACAAAATGCTTATGAATCAAACCTTGGTTAAATTGAAGGATTCTACCAACTTCAGCAAGGAGCTCTGGCAGTGTAGTGGTTATGAATCGTAAGGTCAGCAGTTTGAAACTACCAGCAGCTCTGCAGGAGAAAGATGAGGCTTTCTGCCCCTGTAAAGATTTACAGCCTTAGAAACCCTGTTCAGGGTGGCTATGGGTCAGAAGTGACTCGACAGCACTTAACAACAAACCAAATTCAGCAGTTTGACAAGCATGTAATCAATGCACTGATAGCTAATGATTGAAATGCAAACGTTGGAAACAAGGATCAGTAGTTGGAAAATCTGAAGTTGGTGATAGAAATGTCACAGGAAATCGCATGATAGAATTTTGCAAGACCAAGGACTTACAGTTTTTAAACAACATAAATGTCAACTATAACATGGACCTCATCAGATAGACTACACAGGAATCAAACTGACTACACCTTTAGGAAGAGATAATAGATAAGTTGAATATCATCAGTCAAAACAAAGCCCAGGTACACACAAACAACCAAACTGCAAAAACTGTACGAATAATAGAAGGTAAAATAAATTGGGACATACTAAAAATTAGAAACTTAACGTGCATCAAAAGACTTCACCAAGAAAGCAAAACGGGG